GACCCCCGCGCGCCGCGCCGCGAGCGTCGAGTCCCCCGCGGCGCGGTGGCGCCGATCGCCCGGCGCGCTCGCGGCGAGCGCGATCGTCGCGTCGTCGTCGTCGTCGCGCGCGCCTCCGCGTCGCGCGTCCAAGTCATCCTCCCGCGCCGATCCCCGGCGCCGCCGCGTCCGCGACGTGACCGTCGCCTTCGGCGGCGACGACGGCCCGACCCCGGAGCCGGACTACGGCCTCCCGAAGCTCGCGACGGAGGAGGCGGCGGAGGAGGACGCCGCCGCGCGTCTCCTCCGCCTGCGATCGCTCGTGATGGTTAAGCGGCTCTACTTCGCCGTTCTTCTCGCGACGGAAACCGTAGACGCCGACGTCGCGCCGGACCCGCCGGGGAAGCCGAAGCTCGCCGCGGTGACCGACCCGGAGACGCTCGCGGACGCGGTCGACGCGTACGTCAAGCGATGCGCGCGCGTCGTCGACGCGGAGGCGCAGTGCGCGAGGCTGGACGCGATGCTCTCTGGGATGGACGAGACGGCGGGCGCGTGGGACGCGTGTTTCGTAGACGCCTCATCCGCCTCATCCGCGACGTCCGCGCGCGAGGCCATCGCGCGTCGCGTCGCGGAGTGCAAGGCGTCGCTGACGCGGCACGCGGTCGCGCTTTTGAAGTCGCTGCCGTACGGCAGCGTCGAGGAGACGGAGCGCGCGATCGAGGAGGCGAGAGGGCGACTCCGGGAGGACTTTGACGGCGACGGCGGCGCCGCGGAAAAGATCGTCGCGAAAACGGCGGAGAAAACCGGGCGGCTGGTCAAGTCCACGCGGGGTCTGGTGAAAGAGGGCGTGTCCAAGTTCCGCGAGAGGCCGCTCAGCGCGGCGAAGGGCGCGGCGGAGTACACGAAGGGGGTGTGGGTGCGGTTGAACGGCGGCATGGACGGCGCGTCGTCCGGGTACGCGGATCCGATCTTGCGCGACCTCCCGTCGCCGTCGTTCGATCCGGAGGCGCGGCCGAATAACGTCTTGAAGCTGACGTTGGAGGTGCAGGACCGCGACCGCGCGCTCGCGGACGCGTCCAAGGAGCGCGAGAAGGTGATGGCGCAGGGGCGAGATTCGCTGTCGCGCGTCAGGCTCGCGCGCGCGATCAAAGAGTCGGACGAGAAGGTGTCGTTGCTTCGCCGCGTCTTCGCGGTGCGAACGCTGCAAGCGGAGATGGAGCGCATCATCGGTTCGCTCGAGGAAGAGGCCGCGCTCGCGCCGTCGCTGGACGCCCCGGACAGGAGCGACGAGGTCGAGCTCCTCGTCGCGGAGTTTGGCGTCATGGACGCCGAACTGAGGAAGCTCGTCAGCGCCGTCGACCGCGGCGCGCCCGATCTCATCGACGACGACGCGCTCACCGAACTCGCGACGGACATCCCGGATCTCAAGTCCCGCCTGGGGATCGCGGACGAGGGGCTGACGTCGTTATCCCCGGAGATTGTTGGCGAGCGCGTCGTCCGCGCGACGGAGGAGAGCGTCGGGAAGGCGAAAGAGGGCGCGGAGTTCATGTCGAGAGGCGTGCGGATGTTGTTCAACGACGTCGGGACGTCGTTTCGGTTCTTCGGCAGGGCGGTGACAGGAAGCACGCTGCGGCCGCGGGAGGTGCAGACGATTCGCCGGACGACGCTGGACATCTTCACGTTCGTGCCGTTCGTGATCATCCTGATCATTCCGCTGACTCCCGTCGGGCACGTGCTCATATTCTCGTTCATTCAGAGGTACTTCCCCGCGTTGTTTCCGTCGCAGTTTTCGCAGCGGCGGCAGGAGCTCATGAAGAAGTACGAGGACCTGCAACTGCAGCTGAAAGAGGCGGAGAAGAGCAAGGAGATGCGCGAGGAGGACGAGGCGCTGCAGAGGGCGGTCAGCGCGGTCGAGAGCCTCATGGTCGGCGGCGGGAGCGAGGCGGAGCTCGCCGCCGCGCTCGCGGGTCCCGGCGGGGAGGGCGACAAGAAGGAGAAGGAGCGAAACCTCTTCGGGCTGAAGGGGCTTCGACGCATGGGGTCGGAGGACGAGGAAAACATCGAGGAGCTCAAGTCGCGCGCCGCGATCGCGTCGCAGTCGCTGACCGAGGACGAGGGCGACGACGGCGCCGCGGCGACGGAGTCGCGATGATGAACGCGCGCCCGACGCCGTCGCGCTCCCGTCGCGTTTGAATCATCAATCGACATCTGATGACAAAAGAAACATCACGTCGACGTCCGTCGTCGCGCGCGCCGTTCATCTTCGTCGTCGTCGTCGTCTTCTACTACCCTCTACCCTCACGCGCGCGCGGCGTCTTCGCCGTACAACTCTCTCCATCGATCTCCCTCCTCCGCGTCCATCCCCGGCCCGCCACGCGCCGCGATGTCCCTCACCACCGCGCTGAGGGTCGTTCCGTACGAGCGATGATATCGGGGTGGAGTTGAAAGGCGTCAGTTGGCGTTGAAAGGCGTCGAGGGCGGGCGTTGAAAGCGAGGTGTGGGCGGAGAGACACGCCGGGAAAAGTCCTTAAGGATCGGCGTCCACCACGCCAACGCGGTCGTATGGAGACCAGTGTGAGATAGAACGCACCTCAGCGCCGCCGCGTCCGCCGGCGACGCCAGCGCCACGCGCACCGCCGGATGCGCGCTCGCGAACCGCAGCAGGTCGCTCTCAGACGGCATCGACCCGCTCGCCTCCGCCGCCTCGCGAAGCTCGCGCGCGTTGGACGGCGTCGCGATCACGGGGACGTCGCGAATGAGCGCCGCCGGGAACATCGACCGCTCCGCGGCGACGTGCGTCATGTCGTACCGCGCGACGAGGAAATCCAGCTCGCAAGGCGGCCGCGTCGCGGGGCCTATGAAGGAGGATGAGGGCCGTTCTATACAAGCGAATGTCGGGGTGGAGTTGAAATGCATCAGTTGGAGTTGAAAGGCGCCGAGGGCGGGGATTGAAAGCGAGGGGTGGGCGGAGAGACACGCCGGCGAAAGTCCTTAAGGATCGGCGTTCACCACGCCAACGCGGTCGTATGGGGACCAGTGTATAGAACGCACCTGAGTCCGCCGCGGCGGTGTCTCGGGCGCCCTCCTCCCTGCTCGCCTTCGCTGCGGCGTCGTAATCGTACGCGACGTCCGCGCCGAAGCCGCCGACGTCCGCCTTGTCGCAGCGCAGCATGCGCACGCCGACGCACCGGTCCCTCGTCCCCGCGCCGACGAACCGCACGACGCCGTCGATGCCGGCTCTGCCCTTGTCCGGAACCACGAGAAGCGATCGGCGCATCCAACGCAGGGACGCGACGACGTCAACCTCGTCGCCTCGCTCGACGTCTTCGAAAAAGAACGCGTCGACGTAGGACGTGTTCAGCGCGCCGAGGCACCGCTCGACGTGCGTCGTGATGGCGCGTTCCGTCGATCCGTTTCCGTAGATTGCTCCGCCGCCTCCGAGGACGCCGCCGAGGACGCCGCCTTTGCCTTTGCCGTCGCCGTCGCCGTCGCCGCCGCTCTTCTTCTCCCCGCTCTTCTTCTTCTCCGCGCTCTTCTTCTCCGCGGCGATGATCTCTCTGAGCGTCTTCGCGGACATACCCAACGTCACGAACAGCTTCTTTCGCTTCACCGGATCGTCGCCGACGAGTTTACGCAGCCCGCACAGGTCCGCGCCGCGTTCTAAAGATTTGTGCGAGACGTGCACGTAGTTCACCCCGGACGCGCGCGCGCGCGCCGGGACGTCGAGCGCGTCTTCCCCGCGCTCGCGCGCGAACGCCTCGCTGCTGATGCCCAGGAATTGCACCGGCGCGCCGCTCGCCGTGCGAAGCTTCGCGGAGTCGGACGCGCGCGACGGCGCGTCCGGAAGGATGGGGAGCGGCTCCCCGCGCGTCCGAGTCGGATCGGCCACCTCCGCGGGCGCGTCCGCGACCGCGGCGCCGCCGCCGCTCGCGCGCCGCCGAAGCAGCGACGCGATGGACGCGATCGCGGTCAGCGCGGTGTGAGCACCGCGCGTCGACGCGTTGGAGTTCTTATTACGCGACGACGCGCGCGCGCGCGTCGCGCTGCCGCGTCGACGAGGCGTCGACGCGCGGGCGGGTGCCGTCGTCCCGGGGCGACACCTCGCGAGCAGCGCGCTGGCCATCTTTAATTATTAGCCGCGAGCGGCGTCCTCGAGCGCGCGCGGCGCGGCGCGGTTCGGTTCGGTTCGCGCGCGGACGAGCGACGCGACGCGGAGTGGCGTCGGCGGTCTGCGGCGACGCGTGCGCGCGCGGGGGGTCTCGCGTCGCGCGCGCGCGGCGTCGCGTGTCGGAGTGCCCGAAGAAGACCTCAGTCCACGTCAGCGTCGTCAACCTTCCCGGCAAATTCCTCGGACAGGAACGACCGAGGAGTACGAATTTCGTACGATACACAAATCCTCTCGAACTGAGAGAGCCCATACGAACGGAAACGTTTGTTCACCGCGCCGCGCCACGCGCCCTCTCAGCTCTACTAGCTAGAGGATACTTTTTCCCCGATTTAGATTCGCTCCGACCCCTCCGCGGCGTCGTCGACCCCCCGCCCGCACACGCGCGCGCGCGATCACGCGTCGAACGCCGCCCGGTCGCAGCCATGTCAAGGCTCCGATCGACGCCCCCGCACGTCGACCCCCTCGAGGGGTCCATCTACACGATGGGGGACTGGAAGCGGGACGTGGAGAAGTGGGGCGACGAGAAGGGCCGATCGCCGATCGTCACGAACAAGACGCCCAAGCAGAAGAAAGCGTTCGACCCGGAGTCGCCGTCCACCGCGAAGATCGGGCAGTCCCCGGGGTCCTCGGATCCGAGCTCGCCCCTTACGACGACCGCGGAGTACCGCAGTTCGAGGATGGCGCGCGCGCGATCGCTCTCCGATCAGCGCTCGAGGCCGTACGGCCGCGATCAGGCGGCCCCCGACTCGCCGGACAACGATCCGCGGCTGCTGGACGAGGAGTGGGCGTCGCAGCGCTCGCCGCTCGTGTGCGAGAGCGGGTACCACCCGATCGACCGCGGATTGAGCCGCTCGCCGCAGGTGATCGCGGACAAGTTCAAAGGGCGGCACGACGTCGACGACGCGCTGCGTCACCGAGAGCACCGCGGATCCCCCGGGTCGCCGAAATCGCCCGACGTCGACGTCGACCCCCGTCACCGAGACGGCTGGATCGGGAACGTGAACGCGAGCCCGAGCGGCCACGGGAAGAACACGGACGCGAAGATGGGGCGCAACAAGCTCGAGAAGGGCGAGATGGACCGCGCGTACAACATCATCCACGCGCGACCGCCGCAGAGCAACGACCAGCCGGAGGTGCGTTCTATACACTGGTCGTCATACGACCCCGTTCGCGTGGTGAACGCCGATCCTTAAGGACTTTTGCCGTCGTCTCTCTCCGCCCATCCCTCGCTTTCAATCCCACCCTCGGCGCCTATCAACGCCAACTGACGCCTATGAACTCCACCCCGACTTTCGCTTGTATGGAACGGCCCTGAAGGACGCGTGGCTCGGCAGCGCCATGACGCGACCGTCGCAGGGAAAGCGACGGCCGGCGACGCCGCAGCGCGTCAAGGAGGCGCGCGAGCAGTTCGCCGCGCTGTCGTACACGCCGAAGAACGAAGAGGAGGCGCTGTCGCCGTCCAAGCTGGACGGGTGGGAGGGCAACGCGAGTCACGATCCGAAAAACGCGGGCGTGAAGGTGGACCTCGTCGCGAGGCGGCGGACGGACGGCATCTTCGACGAGCGGCACACCGCCGTCGGCGCGGGGCAACCCAAGCACAGCAAGCGCGCGCTCGCCGGGCCGGGGGGGACGCGAGAGGAGGACGAATTCAGGTCGTCGATCAAGAAGATCGAGCAGCCGCCGTCGCTCACGGGAGGCGAGAGGAAGTGGAAGGGGAAGGCGATCGTTCGGCGGTACGACGATCCGACGGCGCACCAGTACCGCGGGCACGTCGACGGCGACGGCGCGTCCCCGCACGGCGGCGTGTTCGCGCCGAAGTATCCGACCGGGGGTACTACGTATGCGCCGCCGTCCGGGGAGGCGCCCGCCGGGTTCAATCCAGGGCGCGAGGGCGCGATCCAGGACGGGTACAAAGCCGCGGATAAGCTCGACGAGACCATCTTTCACCCCGCGCATCAACGGTCGCACCCGGGGGAACGGCAACGCGACGGGATCGAGAAGGACGGGAGCATGGTCCCCGCGCGGCGCGACGCGTACAACCCGCAGGAAGGGATGTTCTCCGAGACGAGGAACACGTTTGAGCACGCCGGGGAAGCGACGCGGTCGAGCGTGACGAGCGAGGGCGGCGCGATGGTCCCGGCGAGACCGGACCAGGGCGAATACCAAGCCCAGGAGGGCATCTTCGCGGAGAACCGGAACGTCTTCGAGCACGCCGGGAAAGACACGAAGAGCTCGCTCGGTTATGGGATGGTCCCGGACCAGCAACGGTTCGAGGGCGACGCGAACGCGCATCTGAACGCGCACAGGGGGAAGGCGACGAAGTCGTCCATCAGATTCGGACCGACGAGCCCGGACTCTTCCCCGGAGCAGCCCGCGATCGCGCACGTGGACGGCGGACGCAGGAAGATTGGGGGTCAGAAAACCCCGGACTCGACCGGGGCGAAGCGACCGGAGGACGGGTTCTACCGGTCCGGGTTCGCGAGCGGGATGACGCCGCGGAGGGAGGCGGCGCGCGACGGGAAGTGGACGATGCGGATGACGTGACAGACGCGAAGAGGAGGCGAGCGTCGGGTCGCGAGGGCATCGCGTCGTCGTCTCATCGTGGGGGGTGTGCTGTGTTGTATCCGTGTCGTGAATAAATATGATATTCAACGCTAAGGAGGTTCACGCGTCGTCGTCGTCGTCGTCTATCACGCCGCGACCGCGCGTCTCGCCTCCGGCTCGGGCTCTTCCTCCGCGTCCTCTTCCTCCGCCGCCGCGACGGGCGCTTCGCTCGGTATCGCCGGCAGCTCGCGCTCCACCTCCGCCCGCTCCTCCTCCTCCCGCGCGTCCGCCCTCTCCCTCGCCTCCCTCTCCCGCGTCTCCTCCGCCTCCATCGCGCGCAGCTCCTCCTCCACGGCTTCGTCGTCCTCCGCGTTCAGATGCGCGGCCATCATGCGATCGACCGCCTCGTTGTGCTCCCTCGCGTCCTCCATCCCCTCCAACACCGCGTTCACGTCGTCGAGGGAGTACCCCGCCTGCGCTCGCTTCAGCGCCTCGTTCCCCTGACGCAGGCGCTCGACGACGACCGCGGTCGCCTGCGCTTCCTCGATGGACGACAGGAGCTCCTCGACGCGCATGAGCCACTCGAACACGCGCGTCGACATCTGCGTCTGGAGCCTCCGTCGCCGCAGCGCGCGCGTCGCCGCGGACCGCCCGGCGGCGGTGCCCTCCTTCGCCGCCTTGGACGCGATCGCGGTCTCGCGCGCGATGGCGTCGTCCACCCTCTTCGCGTGCGCGGTGAGCTTCCGTCGCTGCGTCTTCAGGCCGAGGACCTGACGATCGACCTCGGTGACCGCCCCGGCGGGGGTCGTCGCGGCCGGGGTCTTCTTCGGCTTCTTCGGCTTCTTCTTCTTCTTCCCGCCAGCCTTGCTCGAGGACGAGCCCATGGACGGCGGCGGCGGGGAGGACGCGCGGGGTGGACCCGCGGCGCGTGGGTCGTCTGCTCCGAGGCGAGGTTCAAAAATGGGAAGTCGCCACTTGGCAAACTGCTTTTTAGCGCAGAAGAGTGGCGAAGCGCTCGAGGCTAACCTCCGAAGCGCGTCGACGTGCTGACGCGAGCGAAGAAGACTGCGAACGACGCGAGTCGTCATCGCACACTGTGCGTACCGTACGCTTCGCGTACGTTGTCGTTAAATAAATTAACTACCGAGCACCCGAGTCGCCGTCGCCGCGCGCCGCGATCGATCGATCCATCCATCACGAAAGTCCTTAAGGATCAGCGTTCACCGCGCCGACGCGGTCGTATGGGGACCAGTGTGACCGTCCATCCGTCCATCCGTCAATACACCGTCCGCCGGCCGAGCTCTTGCTCCAGCTTCAGCCGCCGCCGCTCCTCGTGCAACGACGCGAGCTTCGAGCTCTGCTCCGAGCCCGCCGGGCTCGCGCCGTCCCTCTGCGTGCTCTCGTCCTCGCTGTCGTCGTAGTCGTATCGCGCGTCCCACCCTCGGGGCCCGCGCGAGCGGCGCGACGCGTCCGCCTCCGGAGACGCCGCGTCCGGAGACGCGTCGAATCCGTCGTCGTACCCGTAGTAGTCGTCCGCGCCTCGCGACAAAAACGCGCTCGTCTCCGCGTCTTCGTCCTCGTCGAACGCGAACGACTCCTCCTCCGCGTCTTCGAACGACTCGTCCTCGCTCGTCGCGACGTCGTCGTTCGCGTTCGCGTTCGCGTTCCCTCCCGAGCGCCCCGTCGGCGCCGGGGACGCGTCGTCGAACCGGAACCGCGCCAGGTTCGACACCGAGTTGGCGAGCGACGACCGCGCCTCCGCCGCCGAGCCGTCCAGCGGCCGACGCAGCGACTTCACCTTGGACATGTCCGGCTTCTTCCCGAACGTGAACGCCTTCGGCTTCGTGACTCGGTTCCTCCACCCGCTGCCGTCGGACTTGTTCAGCTTGTCGAGCTTCTCGCGTTCGATGAGCCGCGCGCGGTGCGCGCGCTCCAAGTGGACGCGCTCGAAGTAATCCAGATCCGTCGCGCGCGTCTCCGTCTCGCCCTTCAGCCGCGCCGCCTCGATCGTATCGCTGACCGCGTTCGCGCCCTCGCCCTTGTGGCGGTTGCGGTACGACGACAGCGCGGACTTGAGAGGGACGTGCTTGCTCTCGCGCTTCTTGAACGGGTGCGACGTCGGCAGCGCCGACGGCAACGCGACGCCGCCGACGACGTGCGCCGCCGCGCGCGCGTTTTCGTCGCCGCTCTCGCCGTCGCCGCCGTACTCGCTCGCGTCCCACGTCGTCTCGCTCGCGGCGTAAGCGGCGCCGCTCGGTCGCCTCGAGCTCGCGTCGTCGAGAGAGCCTCCGGGACGCGCGAGTTGTGAGCGGGTCCCCGGGGAACCGCGGCGAAAGTCGTCGGAAAAGGTATTCCCAACGCGCGCCACGCCCTTCCCTCCGGCCCACGCCGAGAGCCACCCCTTCGGTCGCGACGTCGCCGCCACGAGCGCGCCGTCGACGCCCTCGTCCGCGGCGGGGGGCAGCCCAAAGCCGCGAGGGACGCCGAGGCGCTTCGTGCGCTGCTCCGCGGCGATGTCGCGGACGAAGCGCGGAACCGTCGTCGCCGTGCGAGGCTGGAACGTGCACTCGCGCTCGCCCTCGTCCTCCTTCGTGGGTGAAGCGATCGGTCAGTTGAACGTCTTACCGGTCAAACGTTGAAAGGGAAGCGCGGGTGAAGAGTGACGACGGGAAAAGTCCTTAAGGAACGGCGTGCACCACGCGAACGGGGTCGTATGGGAAGCAGTCTCACCTTCGCCTTCGCCGCCGCCGCCGCCGCGCGGTTCCGACGCTCGAGCCAGTCCAAATTCCGCTCGTAGACGCTCCCCGTCTTCGAACTCCTCGGCGCCGCGGCGATGATCGCCTTAGTCTTCGCGCTCAGCTTCGGCTTGAACGCGAACTTCGCGGCGATCCTTTGATCCTCCTCGTCTCGTAGCGCCGCGAGGTACCGGTCCGTGCCCTTGCCCGGCCTGCCATACCGATCGCACGCGTAATCCGTCGCGTCGATCGTGTGACTGTTCACGCTCGCCTCGTCGCTGTGCATCCACCCTTCCGCGAGCAGCTTCTTGTCGTTCACCTCGCGTATCTCTTTCGTGCCCTTGTTGTGCAGGTACTCGATGCGATCGACGCCCTGGTTCTCTTTCGCGCGCACGGCGGCGGCGAGGCGTTTGGTTTTGGCGGAGATCTTCGGCGCGAACGTCTCGTCCGGGTCGTCCCTCGGCAGCGTCTTCGGCCGCGACGCGTACAGTCGGTCGAACAGCGTCACGGCCTGGAGCTTCGAGAGCCGCGGCCACCGCCGCGGCTTTGTCATCTCCGGCTCCTTCGGCTTCGACGGGCCGCCGATGTTCCATTTGAAGTGTCCAAAAAACGAAGAGCCGAACGCCGCGCGCGGACCCGCCGTCGGCGCCCTCGTGCTCGAGGACAGCCGCGCGCCGCCGTCGACGGTGGCGCTCGGCGAGCCGCGCCGCGATCCCGAGGCTCCTCCTCGATTCGCGTCCAGCTGTCGCTTCGACGCGTCGATGAGCCCCGCGAACGTCTTCGCCATCCCCGTCGGCGACCCCCCCCCGCCGGCGCCCGCGCCGGCGTCGTCCTCGATCGAGAGCATCTTCGAGACGCGCGCGCGCGCGGACGACGCGTCGGCGGACGACGACGCGCGCGCGAGCCGCGACGGCGTGCCGCCGCCGCCGCCGATCGTCGTGTTCGCGGCGTCGTCCTCCGCGATATTCGCCTCCGCCGTCGCGTCGTCGTACGTCTCGCGATCGTCCGCGTCGTCGTCGTCGTCCGCGACGTCCGAGTGTTGCGACTCCAGGTGCGCGCTGTGCTCGCTGAGTTTGGCGCGCATGAGCTTCGTGAGCAGCGGGTGCGTGCTTCGCTTGTTCGCGCGGACGCTCCCGAGCATCTGCCCGGCGTTTCTGTGGACGACGGGGAGGAGAGGGGAGGGCGTCAGAGAGGAGGCTGGACGTCTTGTCGCTCTTCGGCGACCTAATTAATAATTCGCGACGAGTGAACGAATGCGCGGCGAAATTCTCGTCCGATTTTATCGTCGGTCCTCGCGGTCGTCGCGGTCGACGTACCCGTTGATTTCCTTCATGACGCGCTCGGTCGCCGCGTCCGCGCGCGCGCGATGGAGTGTGCGTGTGCGTGCGCCGCTCCCACCGCGCGAGCGTCCCGATCGCCTCGGCGCGCGTCGCAATTGGAGCGAGGTGGACGCGAAGGGGAGAACGCGATCGATCAAAGAACAAAATCTCTTGCAGCCATGACCGACCGACCGCTCGGAAAAACGCGCGCAGAAGAGAGCGAAGATGACGACACCGACACGCTCTTTCACACCCTCCGACGCCGCTCGCCTCGAACGCCCGCGCCGCCGCCTCCTTCCGTCGCGACGTCGGATCTCCGCGCGGGCGGACGAACGACGACGATGGCGGCGCTCGCGTCCGCGCGCGCGCCCTGCGTCGCGTCCTCTCGCGCTCGTCGGCCGACGCGCGACGACGTGTCGCTGTCGGCCGATCGACGACGTGTCGGCACCAGCGGCCGACGCGACGCGCTCGTCTCCGCGCTGACGCTCCTCGCCACCGCGGGCGCGACCGACCTCCCCGCGCCGCGCCGCGCGTGGGCGGACGTCGGCGGCGGCGGCGGCGGCGGCGGCGTCTACATGCCGTTCGAGGAGCTCGAGAGCAGGGCGCGGACCGCGTACCGCGAGAAGCGCCTGGAAGACGCGCTCGACTACCTGACGCGCATAATCGCGCTCGAGCCGGACGACGGGCAGTGGTACGAGCGCCGAGCGCAGGTCCTCGTCGACCTGAAGCGGTTCGAGCTCGCGCTCGCGGACTTCGACGCCGCGGTCGAGCGGTACGAGCCGGAGTATAAGTCCCTGGGGTTGCTCTCCAACCGAGCGCTCGCGCACGAGGGCCTCTACGAGTGGGAAGCCGCCGCGAAGGACTACTCCGAAGCTATCCGCCTCTCGCGGTCCATCGGCAGCGCGCCGCCGTACGTCTTAAACTCGCGAGGGAACGCGTACGCGAGCTTAGCGCGGTGGGAGGACGCGCTCGCGGACTACGACGAGGCCGCGAGCGTGTTTCAGAAGAGCCGCAACTTATCCGGCGCGATTTACGCGCAAAGCAACGCGGCGCTCGTGCTCGCGGAGGCGCGTTCTATACACTGGTTCACATACGACCGCGTTGGCGTGGTGAACGCCGTTTCTTAAGGACTTTTCCCGTCGTCTCTCTCCGCCCAGGGTCCCTCGCTTTCAATCCCCGGCCTCGATGCCTTTCAACTCCACCTGACGCCTTTGAACTCCACCCCGACGTTCGCTCGTATGGAACCGCCCTCAGCTCGGGAGGGACGCCGACGCCATGCGCGAGATGGAGTCCGTCGCGCGCAGAGCCGCGGGGAGCATCGACATGCGCGCCGCGCTCGCCGCGATGCACTGGAGCTTCGGGGAGGAAGAGAAGGCGGAGGAGTACTGGGAGTGGGCGTGCACGCGGATCAACAGCGGGGTGCTCCGCGAGGGAGGCCCGGCGATCGACGGGTGCCGGCTTTACAAGGACATGGACTGGTTAGCGCGGATTCGGCGGTGGCCGCCGTCGATGGTGCGGAAGATGGACGATTTCTTGAACCTGAGGAAAGGTTCGGAGTTGTAAGGGAGCGACGCGTTGGAGTAGGGATCTTTCGTTATTACGCAGTACACGTACGCGTGCTGCTAGACCATTCCCGCGGCTTTCGCGTCTTCCAGCTGTTTCTTCTTCGCCCTTTTCTTCGCGTTTTTCGCCGCGTTTTTCCCACCGCCGACGACGCGTTCCTCTTTCTGCGTTTCCTTGCCTCCGGCGTCCCCGCCCCCGCCGCCGCCGTCCGCGTCGCCGGTCGGTTTCTTCCGCTTGTTGAGGTTGTGCTTCCCCCACGCGCGCGCGCCGTAGGACGCCTTGCGGTCCTCCGCCGCCGCCGCCGCCGCCGCGTCGTCGTCGTCGTCGTCGCCGTCGTCGTCGTCGCCGCCTTTCTTCGCACCCTTCTTCCCGCCCTTCTTCCCGCCCTTCCGTCGCTTCGCCGCCTCCGCGAGAAACTCCCGGGCCATGCGCTGGTTCCTGTGCTTGTCCTTCGCCTGCAGCGGCGCGTCCGCGTCCGTGCGGTACGGCGCGAGTTTCTTCAGAGAGACGATCTGGTTCAAATCCCTGTCGCTCATCGCGAGCATCTCTTTCGTCGTCAACCCGTACATCGACGCCGCGACTTCCTTGTACTTGAACCGGCACGGGATGTCGTCGATGAAGTCCTCCGCGTCGATGGCGTAGTACTCGTCCATCTTCGCGGTGAGCTCTTTCCGCCAGCGTTTCGCCGCGCGTTTGCTGAATTTATTCCCCGCGTTTGGCGCCTCGTCGTCGTCGTTCTCTTCGTCGTTCTCTCCGCCGTCGTCGTCGTCGTCGTCGTCGTCGTCGTCGTCGTCGTCGTCGTCGTCGTAATCGTCGATGTCGTCGCCTTCAAACCCGTCCTTCCTCGCCGCGAGCGCGGCGCGCAGTTTCTCAAACTGCGCGCTGTTGTTCTCCGCCGCGGCGCCTTTCCCTTCGTCCCCGCCCTTCCCTAAGAGCTCGCCGACTTCGTCGTCCAGGTCGCCAAACTCCGGCTTCTCTAACGCGTCCCCGTCCTCGCCCTCGCCCGCGCCGTAGTACCCGTCGTCGTACATCGTGCGCATGAGTTTATCGTGCTCGTCCGGGTCGAACTCCGCGGTGAGGTTCGCGGCGGCGACCGCGTCCGCGCCGGCCAAGCCGCCGACGCTTGCGATTTGCGCCATCTTCTGTTGAATCTCCTCGCGCTTCAGGTTCTTCAGCCTTCGAACTTCCGCTTTTAAGCGCTCCTTCTCGGACAGTTTCCTCGCCTCGCGCTCCTTCCGCTTCTCCCGACGCGCGGTCTTCTCCCTTCGCACGGTGCCCTCGATGACGCGCGCGTGCGACACGATCTTCGCCCCCTCCGGCTCCTCGAACCGAAAGTTATACGTCTGCTCGAATTTCTCCGCCTCTTCCACCTCCTCCTCGGAGCTCTCCCCGGTGCCGCCGCCGATGAAGTTCAGCGTCGTGCCCTCTCTCGCGTCCTCGTTCTCTTTCCACTTCTCGTTCAGGAGGTAGTCTCTGAGGAACGCGTCCTCTTTCGAGATGCCCCCTTTCCCGTCGTTTTCTTTCTCTTTCCCGTCGAAGTATTCGCACAGCGCGCCCTTCGCCGCTTTCGCGTCCTCGTCCGAGTCCGCGTCCGAGTCCATCGCGCCCGCGCGGCGCTTGACGCGCAGCCCGCCGCCGCTGTCGCTGCCGCTGCCGCCGTCGTCGTCGGAGTCGGCGCCGTCCGCGGCGTCTTTGAACGCCTTCTTCAGGTCCGCCTGCTCCTCGACGTACGATTTTTCATTCGGTCGCCTCGGCGCGGCGGCGTCGTCGTCGTCCTCGAACGCCCTCGCGCCGCCCTCCAGGAGCTGCCCGGCGACGACCTCTCTGAGCGTCTGCCTCTTCGGCTTCTTCTCTTTCTTTTTCTTTTTCTTCTTCTTCTTGTTCTCGTCGTCCTCGTCGTCGTCGTCGTCGTCGTCGGACGAAGAGGACTCCTCGGCGTCCGATGAGAAGAGCTCCGTGTCCGGCTCGTACAGCGACGGGTCTTTCGACTTGATCCGCACGAGCGCGCGCGCGAACTGCGCGTCGAGCTTCCCCGGGACGTCTCCGTCGTCGCTGTCGTCGCTGTCGCTGTCGTCGCCGTCGCTGTCGTCCTCCCCCTCCGCGCCCGTGGGAAGGAAGTACTCGCGCTTGACCTTCTCCTCCAGGCGATGCTTCTCCTCGCGCTTTTTGTTGTGCTCGAATCGCGCGGCGTACTTGGCGTTGATCGTCAGCACGTCGTCGCCGCCGAGGACGTTCTTCGAAGTACCTTTCGATTCTTTCGACGCTCTCTTAGGGTCCTTGGCGCCGCCGCGCTTCGCGTCGTCTGAGCTCGAGGAAGAGCTCGAGTCCGACGCGGAGTCCGAGTCCGAGGACGACGACGACGACGACGACGAAGAAGAAGCGTCGTCGTCGCCGTCCGAGTCGGAATCGAACATCGCTTTCGCTCTCGGCGCTTTCCCTCCGCCTCCCTTCGCCTTCGCCGCGGCGGGGGGCATGGCGGCGTTCGTTCGCGCGTCGCGAGCAGACGACGACGGCGATGACGCGCGCGCGAAACCGAGGCGCGTCGGGAGCGCGGTGCCCTCGCGGTTGTGACCGCGGGCGACGTCGGTCGTGAAATCTGGAAACGCCGCCGCCGCGGCACCGCACTACGCACCGCACGCGCACCGCCGCCAAAAAAGCTCTCGGAAGCGTCCGCGGCGCGCACAACGAGCGCCGACGGCGGCCGAGCGAGCGAGCGCTTCGCGGTCGCGCCGCTCCCTCGAGGCGCGCCCGACGCCGGCGAGCAGGGCGCGAGCGTCCGCGACGACCGACGCGCGGGCGGAGAGGAGGGAAGGGAGGAAGACGAGACGCGAAGGAAGGGCGGCGAAGGCTCTCGCTCTCGTCGGAAGAAGAACGCGAACGACGCGACGCGCCATCCACCATGGGAATCTTCAGCAAGGGGACGAGGAGCAAGGGCGTGACGCTGAAGCACAAGCAGGCGGGGCAGTCGAAGAACCTTCAGATCGCGAAGAAGGACAGGACCGCGGCGTACAAGTACAAGGAGGCGTTCATGAAGGAGGCGATGGCGCGGCATCTCGCCGCGGCGACCGCCGCGGTGAACGGCGAATCCGTCGCGCCGACGTCGTCGGCCGCGACGACGACGCCGACGCTCGAGACGAAGGACGTCGCCGCCGCGCGCGCGCGCGCGATGGCGGCGCCCAAGGCGGACACGACAAAGCTCGGCCGCGCGAACGTCGGCGCGAAGCTCCGGTCGAAGGTGGACGGGAAGCTGATATCGGACCCGGGGACGTACCTCGTCGGGGCGCTGCGATTCGAGGGACGGAAGCGACCGACGCCGAAGAAGAAAAAGAAGACGGGAGAACGGGGGGAAGACGCGGGCGAAGGCGGCGCGGCGGACGACGCGACGAAGATAGGACACCTGATGCGACCGCTGAAAGGGGACGAGATCGACTTCGCGACGACGGTGGACACGAACGTGCGGCTGCCCGCGTACGCGCGAGGGAAGAAGACGCTGGCGGGGAAGAGGAAGAAGAACAAAAAGAAAAACGCGCTCGCCGCGCGCGGATGCTGACGTCGCCGCGTGTACTCGTACGCTAGATGGATTGTACCAACACGTTTAACTATGATACCTACACTACGACGGAGTGATCGACGACGACGGAGAGATCAAACAGATCGCGCCGCCTGCCGTCAGTGCCGCGCGAACCGAACGATGTCGGCGCCCTCGTCGAACGCCTTGTCCCCGAGCATCACGCCGCTCTCGAGCACCTTCCCCGCGCGCGCTCTTCTGCGCGCGTCGTACGCGCCCCACCCGTCCAATTCCCTGAGCTCTTCCATCGTGACGACGTTATCGCGCAGGGACAGCTCGCACAGCCGCGGCGCGAACGAGAGAAGCGCCGACGGCACGCCTGACGCCGGCACGCGGTTGTCGTCGAGCGCCAGCGCGCGCAACATCGCGCACTCCGATAACGCCTCCGGTATGGCCGTTATCCTATTCCGCCGCGCGTCGATCGCGTCGAGCCGCGCGCACCTCGACAGCTCTCCCGGCAGCGCGGTCAGCTTATTCCTCGCCACGGACAGCCGCTCGAGCCGCGCGAGGTCGCCGATCGCGGACGGCAGCGCGTCGATCTCGTTGCCATCCGCGCTCAGCTCTCTCAGCTCCCGCAGCGCCCCAATATCGCCCGGCAGCTCCCCGGTCAGCGCGTTGTCGTCGATCGCGAGCACCTGCAAGCTGCTCGACAGCGCGCCGCACACCTCCATCCACGCGATAGATCGCGTCGTGAGCGCGTTCCCGCTCAGTCGCAGCCGCGTGAGACGCGTCAACGCCGCGAACGACGGCGGCACGGCGGCGACGCGATTGCCGTGGAGATCCACGACGCGCGCGGCGTCGCGCAGCGCGCACACCTCGTCCGGGATGGCGTCCAGCGCGGCGTCGCGCAGGCCCACGATGCCGGTCTTCTCCCACGCCGCCTCGCGCGACGCGGTCGTCGCGGCCGCCGCGCGACGTTTCGCGTCGTGCGTCGTCGTCTCCGAAGCGCGCGACGACGCGCGCCTCGCGTCCGCCAGCTTCGCGGCTTTCGCCGCGCGGCTCGCGAGGAGCGCAGCCTGCCCCGCGGTCGGCGGCGCGGGCGCGCCGCCGCCGCCGCCGCCTTTGCTCGCCATCAGCATCACGGTCACCTTGCCCCCGGGCGTCGCCTCGCCGCCTTTGCACGCCTGCGCGGCTATCGACTTGGACGCCTCGAGCACTTTGCCCTTCGCGAGGAGCTTCTGATGCTTCGTCAGGACGCCGAGGCGATCTTGTATCGTCTCCATGAGCGACGCCACGGTCTCGTCCGTCGCGACGTCGATCTTCATCGCGTCCTTCCCGTGCTTCACCTCGACGACGAACGTCGCGGGGGGGTCCGCGGGGGACGCCATCCCGGCCGTGCGGCCAGCGCGAGAGGAATGCGTCGCGTTGCACAGCTGTGCAGTCTTTTCGGTTTTGCGCCACTGCTGAACATGTTTGACGACTCGTCCGAGACTTTGAATATGTGCACCCCCCCCCTCCACCGCGCACTTCCCTCCCGCGCAGCGCGCCGTATCGCCCCGAACCCCGCCGCGAACGTCGCGTCCTCGCCGCGCGTCCGATGCCTTCGCCCCCCGCGAAGAAGGCGAAGCCGACGCCGGAGGCGGCGCCGTCGCCGTCGCCGTTCGAGCTCTTCCTCGAGGCCGACGCGTTCAGCGCGAAGTTCGCGCTCGTCTCCAAGTGCGACGCGCACGCGCGCGAGATGCTCAAGCGCGTCAGCCGCGGAGCGCGCAAATCCGTGGAGGACGCGGAGTACGCGGCGCGCGTCGACGTACACCGCGCGCGTCTCAAGGCGAAAGCGTGCGTGGACGCCGTCGAGAGGCTGCGGTGGGCGGCAGCGAACGGGTGCCCTTTAAACGACGCGAGGCTCTGCGCGCTCGTCGCTCGAAGGGGGTGCCTCGAAGCTCTGAAGTGGGCGCGAGAACAAGGGTGCCCGTGGGACGCGTCCACGCCCGCGGCCGCGGCGCGCGGCGGGCACCTCGAGGTGCTCAAGTGGGCGAACGAACAGGGATGCCCGATGAACGACAAGGTGTTTAAGCAAGCGGCGAAGGGCGGACACCTCGACGTTATCAAGTACCTCGTGCCCCCCGCCGCCGTCCTCGTCAAAGTCGCCCCCAATGGGGACGAATTGGAGGACCCAGACTTTTTCGTGGACGCCGAGGAAGACCACGACGATGAGGAGACTATCGAGGAAGAGATCGTCGTGGCTGCATCCGAAGGCTACGACGCCCTCGCGGATCTCGCGGAAGAGTTGAAAACTCCCGTCGACGAACTTTTGCGGCGATACCGCGATATGGAGGCGTCGTCTCCGGGCGACGAGGAAGACGCGGAGACGAACGACGAAGACAGCGACGTCGACGGTGAGAAGAAACTTGAACTTGGACTCGAAGTTATCGTGGACGAGAACGACTTCTTCGTGCCCTTCCGCCACGTGGTTGCAGGTGCGGCGTGCGGCGGTCACGTACACATTTTCAACTGGCTTCGTTTTGAAAAAAAATGGATTCCACCCGGTCGTGAACACGACGACGAGAGAATGTTCAGGTACGCCGCGCGAGGGGGGCAGCTCGAGATCATCAAATGGTTATATGCACGTGATAAAACCCCTGACGCGTGGGCGGCCGCGTTCGCCGCCCGAGGCGGACACCTCGATGTTCTGAAGTTCCTGAGAATGATGCTCGCGCCGATGGACTCGACGGTCGGTACCGGCGCGGTCATGAGCGGGAACATCGATGTGGTACGCTGGGTGTACGCGCTGGGTGACCGATACGTCGACAAATTCTGGCAGTACGCGTTCGCCGCGCGGCACGGGAAGGCATTCGTGAACGCGGTGAGTGAAGTTTGTAACCAGCACGGGTACTACTCGATCAAGTTTTCCAGTATCTCGATAACTGCTGAAGAAGCGCGTCTACGAAGCGCGGTGTTTGCCGTGGCCTACGGCAACTTCGATCTCCTGAAGACGCTCCGCTCCATGTCAACTCGAATTACGGATTACTACACCACAGAGGGTGAGGAGATGAAGCTCATCACTGATGCCGCATTGGGCATGCACAACCTCGTCTAAACCACGAGTAGGCACGGACGATACTGAACGCGACGACGACGACGACGACGATAAAAAGGAGAGCACTTGCACTTGCATCACGATCACCCCGCCTCGCGCTCGCACCGCGCGCACGCGCACTCGAACGCGAAATTCTTCCTCAACTTCCCCCTCCTCTCCTCCCTCCCCAGCATCACGTCCACGTACGGTATCGTGAGCTCCTCGCCCTTCCTCACCCGCCGCGTCGTCTCCACCCGAACGCACCCGAACGCGTCGAACCGCTGCGCCGCGTTGGGCGCGCAGTCGTGATTAAACATCGCAGCCGACGGGTACACGCCCACGCCGATCGGCCGATGCCCGCCGCCGCCGCCTCCTCCTCCTCCTCCGCGCCCCCCCTCCTCCTCCTCCTCGCTCGCGCTCGCGGTCATCTCGAACCCGTTCAGTTGCAGCCGTCCGAGGGTTCGCACGCAGGCGTCCACGGACGCGCGCGCCTCCGCGGCGACGAGAAACTTGGCTTGCTTCGCCACCTCGTGCAGCATCGCGATGGAGGACTCCGGGAGCTCGCCGTCGTCGCCGCCGTCGACACCGGACATCAGGGCGTCGAACGCGTCGACGTCGTCGACGATGACGTCGCCGCTCGCGGCCGCGGCGTCGCTCGCCGCGGTCGCGTACGACGACGCGACGACGTCGCGATGACGTCGGCGGACGCTGAGCACGCGAAGTAACAAGCGAAGGTCGTTGTGCGCGAGCGTCAGCCCGCGCTCGCCGTCGCGCAGCCGCGCGAGCGCGTGGCACTCGTACGCGTGGTACGCCTTCGTCGTCTCGCATCCCGCGCAGCTCGCGCACAGCCGCGCGACGCCGCACGCGCCGCACTCGCGCTCCGCGCCGCACGCTCGGAAGCACCCGTGGCACGATCGGCGCATCTCGTCCGGGTAGGGCACCGCCGCGAAGGGCGCGACGCGCACGAGGAGCGTCCCGGGAGGGAGGTCCCTGGACGCGCGCATCGCCTCCCCGGCGTCGTCGCGACGCGACGCGACGATCGCGTCGAACCCGCCGTCGCCGCCGTCGCCCATCGCGACGGCGGCGCGGAAGGGTATGATGATGATGAGGGGCGTGCGTTTCGGTTTCTGTTCGTTCTTCATTCACTGCCGACTTCGTCCACTCGCGCTCGCTATCACCCTCCTCTTCCTCCTCCTCCGTCAAGGGTTAAACGTCGGCGCCTGCTTCCCCCCGCTCGCGGCCTCCCACACCCCCCTCGTGAGCGTGTCCCCGAACGGATCCTCCGTCCGCTTTCGAAGCAGCCAGTCGATCCCGTCCTCAACCTCCCTTCTCACGTCTCCGTACATCGCTCTCACCTTCTCTTCGTCCTTACTGAAACCTTCCGCGTGCAGCCCGGCCGTCTCGATCGGCCTGCCGAACTTGAAGTAATAACGCTGCGGCGCCTTCGGGACGCATATCGGCTGCACGAAGAGCTCCTCCGCGTCGCCGTCCTCGGTCACGCGCGTGTCCACCGCGCGAGCGGCGGGCACCGCCTTGGATCGTCGAATCGCGCCGTCTCCGAGGCCGAACGGCAGGCGCGCGACGTCGTCCGAGTCCGCGACGATGTCGATGCCGTCCTCCGCGCCGACGGCGGCGAACGGCACGATCGTCGCGCCGTGTCGCACCGCCATGCGAATAAACTCCGGCTTGGACGGCCAGAAGAGCTTGTAGTCCTCGTTCTTGCGTTTAAACGCCTCGCGCACGCCGCCGGGGAAGAGGAGGACGACTTCGCCCGCGGCGAGGAGGTTGTAGAAGTTCTTCCCGCTGACGGGGACCGCGCCGAAGGTGGTGAACGCGCTGAGGCCGCCGCCGGGGCCGCCGCCGCCGCCGCCCTCACCGAACGGACCGGTCGCGTTCGCGGCCGGGGGCGGCGTCGGCGCCGCCGCCGCCGCCGCGGACTCGCCGCGGAGGAACCCCTCGAATAAAACCTGAGGGTCGTTCCATACAAAGCGATGTCGGGGTGGAGTTGAAAGGCGTCAGTTGAAGTTGAAAGGCGTCGAGGGCGGGTATTGAAAGCGAGGTGTGTGCGGAGAGACACGACGGCAAAAGTCCTTAAGGATCGGCGTTCACCTCGCCGACGGGGTCGTATGGGAACCAGTGTATAGAACGCACCTGAAGATCGGGCGGCTCCGGGAACTC